TGGTAGAGCCATAGCCTTCCAAGCTATTGATGGGGGTTCGATTCCCCTTATTCGCTCCAAACAAAGTTATTAAATCACTAAATCAAGGTAAATAAGTTATAAAATTATAAATATGAGTAATAAAGAATACAAAATAAATTTTCATAAAAAAGGATTGAGTTTAGCAAGTGATAGTAATAAAGATAAATACGAAGTGCGTACAAAAGACCACAAGGATCAGGTGGTGAAATTTGCTGAAGACGCTAAGAATGATAGCACAGCTGAAGAAGGCGTAAAATTAGAGTATAGAAAAGATGGCACGAGTGATAAGTGAGAGGAACTTACAGTAGATAAAGGAGATATCAAATACCAAGATTCATTTTGGTTTAGAGGGGTAAAGATAACAAAAAAAACAATTGAAATCTGGTGTAGAATTGAAAGAAGAAGTACAGCCATGGGCAGGTGTTGGTTTTTTCAAGTCAAGAAAGTGGCCAGTTTGGGCAATAGTGGTTGTTGTTATTTTATTATTAATTGGGCTTATCTGATGATGAATTGCTTCCAGCCGCAAAGAGGACAAAGAGGAAGAAAGTTTATAAGCGAGGAGTAATTATTACTCCTCTTGCCGACTATGTTTGTTAAATTAGTTAAGGAAACGGATTTGGATACTTTTCTCCAAAAAAATCACGATAAATTGGTATTGGTGAAATTTTCAACGACTTGGTGTCCGCCTTGTCGGGTGCTACAAAAAAATATTCAGGAGTTGATGGCAGAATTGGAAAAATCAGCCGCACCGAAAAAAGATTTATTGGTGCTGGAAGTGGACGCAGAAAAGTTTCCTCAGCTAGCCCAGAGAGAACAATTTCGTGTTTCCTCTGTGCCGACCATTTTTCTTTTTCAGCAAAGCAAAATGATTAGAAAAAATAATGGCGTCTTGGGCGGAGAAAAGTTGCGGGATTTTATCGGTGTTTAGTGAGGCCCGTTGGTGCAGTGATTAACACATCTCCCTTTCACGGAGAAGACCGCGGGTTTGAATCCCGCACGGGTCACCAAATTATGGTTAATTATCAGCGTTTTTGTAGTTATTACAATGTGCAAATTAAATGTCCGCTTTTCTAGTAAAGTTAAATTACTGCGTAATTCAGTTAAAAACAAAAAGC